ATTCTCCGTATTCAAAAATGTTAGTTACATTACCGTCTTCCAGTCTGATATCTTCTTCAATTTCATGATCCCAAACAATAGGACAAAGCAAGACAAATATATACCAATACATATGTACCTAATGGCAGACCACCTTTAAAAATTGCTAATACTTCTTTTCACTGAAAACTTGCTTTCACATGCAGTCAGTTTAAAAATCAACATCTGAAATATTTGGTTTTAGCAATTACAAATAATAAAAAATTCCTATTTCACATGCACTGCCAGACTGAAAAATTAAAATCTAAAGTGTTTGGTTCTAACAACAAATAAAAATAAATTAAAAAAAAAATAAAAAGAAAGAAAAGTCTTAACTCTGAATCATGGAAAGTATCATTTTGAATCTCGTTTGGTTTGCTCAAGCCAGAGGAGCACTTCAAGGTCTTCCTGATTGTCTTGATGACACAACTTACTTTTCTGGGACTTCCATGGATTTACATGAGGGAGCTGGTAGTCAGTGTAGTTCTGGAGAGAGTAATTTAATAGCAATATAGCACTTTCAGCGCTCTCCCCATTCAGTTTTCATCAGTTTCCTTCTCTACATTTCCTTTTTCCTGTTGGTAATAAACAGCTTGAGTTTTTCCATAGTGAGGATCACAGGCTGGCGTGATGCCGAGGAAGAAGCTGCCATGTTTGCTGCAAACACTCTAGGGCACATAGCTGAGAGGATGAGGAAGAGTCAAATAAATTACACTAGATACCACTTTCACTGACTCCATGACATCTCTGCCTGAAGATGGACATCCACAGGGTGAGGGTAGAAACAGCCTTGGCTTCCCACAGCAGACAAGACCTAAGTGTGATATGTGCTACCTCTGGTTTAAAACTAGCATATTTTATTTTATTTTATTTTATTTTATTTTATGATACTGCTGTGATTCTCTTATTCATATTTACTGATAACACATCAGCCACAAAACTTCCTGGTTTCTCCTGCATACTTTATGGTCATTCTGAAGACTCATGGCCCATGGCTGCCACACTGATCCAGCTGGGTGGAAGCTGCAGTGCTGGGTCCTGCCCATCTTCAACAGGAGGTGTATTTCAGTCTCTGTTTTTCACCACAGTAAACAGACAAGGACAGTGGCCCTCCCAGATGTCTGCATTTCTCCCCTGTGCTGGGGAGGTCCACTGAGCAAGTACTCATTAGCACAGCATATGAGTGTCTCTGAGCCTGGAGGAGGGGGGTAGGAAGATGTTATTAATTTAGTCAGTGCTGTGCAGCTTGCAGAAACACTGTCAGATTCTGCCTACACATATCTCACCTCCTATTGTTAAAGAAATTACAGCTGCTGAAAGAGATGAAAAAGTAACTCATTTATTTTCTGGCTTTCATAGTAATAAAGCAAATCTGATTTTCCTTGACGCTGTAGTTATGTCTCTGCTTTTCAGACTGGGGTCTTTTGGGGTAGCAGTGGGGACATGATTCTCTGCATAGATGCTATCAGTGAAAGTGATAAGTAATAGCTAGCCTATTTTAGTGTCTCTTACTGCACTGACCACATTTGTTTGGGTATATCACTTATTCAAGGACTTAGGACTTTCCAAGACTCATTAGTATCTAGTAAGTGCTTTCCTGTTTCTCACTTGTGAAAGGTCAGAAGCCTGCAAAGCTGTGGAGAGGTCGAGCAAAACTTTCAGCAGAAATTTCTGAAGATAGCTGTGAGTTCACAGACACCTGGAATGGTATGGGTTGGAAGGGACCTTAAGGATCATTTAGTCTCAATCCCCTGCCACGGGCAGGGAGACTTTTCATGAGATCAAGTTTTTCAAAGCCCCATCCAATCTGAACTTGAACAGTTCCAGGGATAAGGCAGCTAGAACTACAACTTCTCTGAGCTACCTGTTGCAGTGTCTCGCCACACTCAAAGTGAAGAATTTCCTCCTGATCGCTAATCTAGACCTACTCTCAGTTTAAAGCTATTTACCCTCATCTCCACATCCCCCTGTCAAAAGTCTCTCTCCTGATTTCTTATAGGCTCTTGTTAGTTACTGGAAGGTGTTGTAAGTTCTCTTCTCCAGCCTCAACTACCCAAATTCTTTCAGCCTTTCCTCACAGCAGAGGTGCTCCAGCCCTCTGATCATCTTCACGGCCTCCTCTGGACTCGCTCTGGCTGGTCCATGTTTTTTCTCATGTTGGATGCCCCAGAGCTGGAGCCAGTACAGTGTTCATGGTGACCCTATGACTATCAGACAGCTTATTGTCCTCTGAAAAAGAATTTGCAGATATCTCCTGAGAACAAAACATGCAGTAGGTGGCACAGGCACACAGCACATTATGTGTCAGGGGTTTCCAGCAGGGGAGTGCAAGAGCTTTTCCCACCACCTCTACTTCTCTCTCACGTTTTGCTTTCATTTCTGCTTTTCACAGGTTCCCACCCTGCCATCACGCATACATTCCACCTGGGGTCCCAGCTCAGTCCCCTCCCATTTCCTACTGATCACTAAACCCTTCCATATCAAAACAATCACACTGACTCTGCTGTCACTGTCATCTTAGTGTTATACTTGTGCATTTATTCTTTCTGTATAACAGCTATTTTGTCAAAATGTCCCTTTTACTGGAAATTGATACTTACTGATTTCACACCTTGCCTCTGTTCTTTTTTTATCTGGGGTTGGACATAAGAAATCAGAGCAAAATATATTTTTTTTCATCTACACTAAAACTGCCTCATAAGATCCATGCTGGTGCACCTCAGAGTTGGCTCCTCAACAAAAAATGAACTCACAGTTTGCACAAGTCTGGAGAAATCATGTAGAATATTTTAAAGACTGTTTCCTCTGAAGGCTGTATTGTTTCAATACCACATTTCTCCCAGTCTTCCCTTCCTGTTTTTCCATTCTTGTGAACACAGGGTATTTTAAGAGTCCATCTGCTCGTGTTACTTATTCCTCTCCACTTTAAGTCATAATCCTTTGTGATATTACATTTAATTACTCTGTCTGTGATTCTATTGCAACCATGAATGGGATCATGATTTTCAACCCTATCTGTACTGGAGTAATTTCAAAATATTTCACCTATTACCAGCTCCATCTGAACTTTGATGGCTTTTACAATTTTGAGGACATTTATTGTGTGTCTGGCGAAACTGACGCTATTCCTAAATAGACAGGTGCCCATATTGCATTTTACACTAGTTGTAACTAGAGTAATTTGGATCTTGCACCTTTCTGGCCTGCCTTTAGTCATGTTACTTCCATTTACAGCAAGGTGTGTTATGGGCAGAGTAATATGCGATATTATTTTTAAAAAGCACATAGTATTTTAAGCCATTTCTGAGCAAAGGTATGGATATACCGCTCAGTAGGTGAAGCGTCTACACCATGCCTATGCCACGGCTCTTGTTTTGTCACCCTCTCTGCGTAAAACTGTCCTTCCTTTAACCAACAGGACACGGGACGGAAGATGGGCTGAGGTTCCTTGCGACCCTTTGCTCTGTGAGGACTGTGATGTTTGCACACACCCTGCTTGGCGAAACGCTCTTCATCACACACGATCGGAAAGAGCAAAACGAGTGGGTTTTTTTGTTTTGTTTTGTTTTGGATTGGTGTGCTTTGGATGGGTTTGGTTGTGTTTTTTGGGGGTGGCGGTGCCGCGCAGGGCGCGGTGGGCCCGGGGGTCGCGGCCGCCGCAGGTGGCGCGGCGGGGGCGCGCTCCCAGCGCCGGCGGCTCCCGCCGCGGCACGGACCGGGGTCCCTGCGCCCGGGGGCAGCCCCGCGCTCCGCACCGCAACCCCCAGGGCTTGTGCTCGCGTGTGATCAGCAAAATGCTGGGAAGCGGGGAATAAATACACATACAGGCACAGAACATCCCAGCGGGCTGCCCGCGGTGGGAACGGGAGAGCCGCCTGGCAGCGTTTAGGGGGGCACACCGGGTGTCCCTCCACCTCCCGCGAGTGCGGAGGGCAGCGTGGGGATGTGGTGGCAGGATGCACGGGGCGTAGCTCGTCGGACGCCGGCGGCTGCCCCGGGGGACGGGAGAATAGCAGGTGCGGGAGCTGCGGGAGGGGATCGGCGACGCCCGGGAGGGTCGCCGGCAGCTGAAGGTTCGTCGGAGACGGGGTCCCCGCCGCGATGGGGAACGGGAATAGGAGGAAGCGCCCCGTCGCAGCTCTGCAGCCGCAGCAGCTCAGCGTCCCTCGGGGATGACCGAAAGGAGGGAGGTCACCGTGGGGCGAGAGGAGGTGGTCAGAGTGGGGGCGGCACAAGCCGGGGCGGGGGCACGCGCGGGGACCGCCAAAGGGAGAGTGGCTGCAAGGTGACCCCCGTGGGGCTCTGCCTCCGCCCCCTCCCGGTTTAATCCTCTGCAGACGCCGGCAGAGGCGGGATAATCAAGCGGCGACCGGGTTGGGGGTGCCCCAGCTACACACGCTCCTTTGTGCCGGTAGCCCGCGCCTCCCCCGCTGCCCCTCTGCCACCGCTCTGCGCTGCGGGACCAGTTCGCCCGAAGGTGCTGGAGCCTCACCCAGGGGAGCGAGGGGCGGGTGAAGCCCCTTCCTCGCCGCCGCCATCGGGGTTACCGCGCTCTCCCTTGCGAGAACGCCAGCGGGAGGAGGGGAGCGGCGAGGAGCTGCCTTTAATCCCTACTAGTAATTTTTTTTTTTTTTTTTTTTTACTATGTTTACTTCCGACCTCTCCGTGCGCGGCTCGTAGTAAAAGACAACAACAAAAAAAATAGTAAAATAAATAAAAAGGGCCACGGAGCGCGGCATCGCTTCTCGCGGCGCAGCTCTCTCTCTCCCGGCCGGCGGAGGCGGGGGCAAAGCGCGGCCGCGGATCTCTGCGCAGCGAGGAGCGCAGGGGCGCGCAGCGGCGCGGCCAGCCCCTCGCAGCGCGCCCTCCCGCGGCCGAGCGCGGAGCCTCTGCCGGGGGCGGGCGGGAGCACGGCGGGGCCCCGCGGTGCCGCCCCCGCCACCGCTCCCCCGCCCCTCGCCGGCGCTTTAAAGGAGGAAAGCAACTAAACTTCTATTGTACCGGCCAGCGCGCCGCGCCGCCCCGGACCAGCGAGAGACCGCGCCGGGAGGCGGCTGCTCCGCCGCTCCGTGGGGTTTATCAAACCGTGGTGGGAGGAAGAGACCTACATTCTCCCGGCGTTTTGTCTATTTTTTTTTTTTTTTAATTTTTCCCTCGTCCTTTCTGGCGGTTCTTTTTATCATCTATCCATTTTCCCTTCGTTGTTTCCGCACCGCCTGCAATAATCGCCTCGCTACGTCTCGCAGCTGGCGCGTTGGAGAAGCCGGTGAGTTGCGGGGCTCTTCGCTTCGCTTCCCATCACTCGATTCCCGCGGTTGTGGCGTTTGGATTGACACGGGCTGGTGACACCCGGGCTTCTGGCAGGGCTGCGCTCCGCGGACGTGGATACCGACGGTCCCTCCCGATGGACTCTCTCCTCTGCTGGGGCTCCGGCGTTCCCATCCTTTTTCTTGCGCTCGGATTTTAATTTAATTTTTTGGGGGGGAGGGGAGCATTAGCTTCTCGCGTATACGCGGGCAGCGTATGATTGCTACATATATTGCTTATATGTATATATATATATACACATATATATAATATGACAAGATTTGGCAAAGTTTGCCAAGGTCGCTGCTTGTCCCCGCGCAGTGCCAGCACGCCCAGGTGGGTGGCGGAGGAACAGCCCGGCTCCCGGCTGAAGCCGCCGGGTGCTCGGTGCCCCTTCCCACCGGGACGCGGGATAGGGATGGCGCTACGGTCCCGGGAGGGAAGGAGCTCCATGCCCCGTGTGAGCGGCGGCGGCAGGGAGCTGAGCTGAGCCCGGGCGGCCGGGCTGCCGCAGCCCCTCCGGGGGAGCGGGGAGGGTGGTCCGGGGGCTGACAACCGACCCCTCGGTAGGTCAGGTCGCGCCTCTCCATTGTTCCGCCGCGCTTAGAACGGGGTGAAGGAGGGTCGTGGGGGTTTTTTGGGATTTTTTTTTTAATTACTAAAATTATTACAATTTAAATTTTTTTTTTTTTTTTTTACTACACGCGACTGCGCATTTCCCTGCCGGCACGGTGCGAGGAGCCGGGAGGGAGCGCTGCGCGCCGGGGGGCCGGTAGCTCCACCGAAGCCGGGGGGAGCCGACCCCCACGGCTCACCCGGGTGCCCCTCTACCCCCTTCCTCCCGCAGGCACCAGCCTCCGCGATGCCGCTCAGCGCCGGCTTCTCCAGCAAGAACTACGACTACGATTACGACTCTGTGCAGCCCTACTTCTACTTCGAGGAGGAGGAAGAGAACTTCTACCTGGCGGCGCAGCAGCGGGGCAGCGAGCTGCAGCCCCCCGCCCCGTCCGAGGACATATGGAAGAAGTTTGAGCTGCTGCCCACGCCGCCCCTCTCCCCCAGCCGCCGCTCCAGCCTGGCCGCCGCCTCCTGCTTCCCCTCCACCGCTGACCAGCTGGAGATTGTGACCGAGCTCCTCGGGGGGGACATGGTCAACCAGAGCTTCATCTGCGACCCGGACGACGAGACCGTCAAGTCCATCATCATCCAGGACTGCATGTGGAGCGGCTTCTCCGCCGCCGCTAAGCTGGAGAAGGTGGTCTCGGAGAAGCTGGCGTCCTACCAGGCAGCCCGCCGAGAGGGGGGCCCCGCCGCCCGCCCCGGACCGCCGCCCGCCGCGCCGCCAGCACCGCCACCCGGGCTGGCCGCGTCCCCCGCCGCCTCCGCCAGCCTCTACCTGCACGACCTGGGCGCCGCCGCCGCCGACTGCATCGACCCCTCGGTGGTGTTTCCCTACCCGCTGAGCGAGCGGGCCCCGCGGGCCGCGCCGCCCGGCGCCAGCCCCGCGTCCCTGCTGGGCGACGACACGCCGCCCACGACCAGCAGCGACTCGGGTGAGTGGGACCCACGCGTGCTCCGGGAGGGCGTGGGAACCCGCGCGGCGCCAGGGGATCCCGGGGCGCAGCTGGAAGGCAGCACACCCCCGCCTCGCTTCTCAGCCCCATTTTGCTCCCCTCCCCGCGTGCGATTTTTTTTTTTTTTTTTTTTT